GGTTTGTTGACACTTTTGCCACTCCATGGTACAGTAAAGTTACAGTCAGATTATTTCTAAAGCAGACTGTATCCTTAGTGAAATCAACAGCAAATCTTTGTTCCAGAGTCAAGCTCAAGTTCTATCATAGGCCCCATTAACATCCACACAAGATGCTTGCCCTAATGAGTAATCACAGATGTAAGGCCTAGAAGATCGCCTGAAAATGTCAGATTCAGATGTTTATGACTTCTACTATATTTCTGGTGAGCATTTGTTTTTGAGCAGAGCATGCTGAAAACTCCAAGAAAATAGAGAACAAAAAATAAATTCACTAAAGCAGAAAATGAAAGAAAATCTCACTCAGTTTTTTTTTCTTCCTATTGATATTACTCATCTCTTCTCAACATTAAACATAACTAACTACCCAGCTTCCTAGACGTGGAATAATAAATACATATAAAAGAATAATTAAATATACAATTAAATTGCAATAGTTTAAAAGGACAACAGAAGGTTTTTCTATAAAAATATATTAAATCTCATCACTGTTTTGAATTTTGAAAACATTTGATTCCAGGAACTTCTATTAATTAGTTAATACTTTATAGTTCTTGGAAACATTTTATAACACAAGTACTTAATGCTCATTAAAATAAATTATTAGAACCTAACATTAAGGTTCCATCTTGAATTTTCTGATCTTTAAACCCACTTTATTCTTCATGTCTTCTGAACACTTCCTACAGACCCACTAGATCCGTGTCATTATCAAAATGCAAATTCTTTCAAGACCACAAAAAGATGTTGATCTAGGAGTTCACTTTTTAAGAAGTTTTTGAAGTAGATACAAGGAATGTCACAGGTATTCGGCTGAAAGTCTTTGATAATGAAATACATTATTTAATTGAGGACAACATGCTTCCTGGAAAGTGATAGTGAAAGATTTGCATATTAATCCCACCTGTTTCAACTGACCAGATGACACCACCAGAATCATAGAATCACAGAATGGTTTAGGTTGGAAGGCACCTTGAAGATTGTCAAGTTCCAACCCCCCTGCCATGGGCAGGGACACCTCCCACCAGACCAGGTTGCTCAAAGCCCCGTCCAACCTGGCCTTGAACACCTCCATGAATGGAGCTTCCACAACTTCTCTGGGCAACCTGAGACAGTGCCTCATCACCCTCAGAGTGAAAAATTTCTTCCTAATACTTAATCTAAATCTATCTTCTTCTAGTTTTAAGTCATTGCCTCTCATCCTGTCACTACATGACCTAGTAAAAAGTCCTTCCCCAGCTCTCCTGTAGGCCCCCTTTGGGTACTGGAAAGCAGCAATAAGATCTCCCCGGAGCCTTCTCTTCTCCAGGCTGAACAGCCCCAACTCTCTCAGCCTCTCCTCATAACAGACATGCTCCAGCCCTCGGATCATTTTGGTGGCTCTCCTCTGGACCCACTCCAACAGGTCCATGTCTTTCTCATGTTGAGGACTCCAGAGCTGGATGCAGTACTCCAGGTGGGGTCTCACCAGAGCAGAGTAGAGGGGCAGAATCACCTCCCTTGACCTGCTGGCCACACTTCTGATGCAGCCCAGGATGCAGTTGGCCTTCTGGGCTGTGACTGCACATCGCCAGCTCATGCTGAGCTTCTGGTCAATCAGCACACCCAGGTCCTTCTCCTCAGGGCTGCGCTCAATCCATCCTCCACCCAGCCTGTATTTGTGCTTGGGATTGCCCCAACCCAGATGTAGGACCTTGCACTTGGCCTTGTTGAACGTCATAAGGTTGGCTTGGGCCCACCTCTCCAGGCTGTCCAGGTCTCTCTGGATGGCATCACTCCCTTCCAGTGTGTCTACCTCTCCAAACAGCTTGGTATCATCGGCAAACTTGCTGAGGGTGCACTCGATCCCACAGAACTTTATTACTGGACAGGATACGGAATCGAAGCTGTAATTATGACTTGATTATAACCCACCTAGATTTAACTCTCTAAATTGAATCCAGCGTTGTAGTTGTAGAAGTACAGACCCCCTAAGACCTGCAAATGACCTTGGATATATGCAACTAAGCTGTGTTAAACGTCACACTACCACAGAAACACTGTTATCAGTAGCTGTGGCAGATCAGGGAGCTGCAATTCCAATTTTAGGCAAAACCAAAGTAATTTTCTGAATGCAGTACTTACAGAAGATATCATTTTCAGAAAAAGGCCACCGTGTAACGCTTCAACTAATAAAAATATCCAACGCTGAGAGGGGTGTAAAGATATGATACAGATCTTCAGGTATTTAAGAAGCTGATGAAAAAAGAAAGAAACCAGTGTTGCTTCCATGTCTGCAGCAAATGGCCCAAAAAGTATTGTCCCTCTGCTGTAACACAGAAGTTTCTGAAATATGGTAGAAAGAACGGTAGGAATAGAAAAACACTGGAATAAATAGGAATGAACTTCTCCATCACTGGAGGCCTCTAAAAGTAGGTCAGAAACAACATCAGTGAAGACTGATTGACATCAGAGCAGAGGCCTGGACTATATCTCCTCAAAGACATTCACATCCTCATAACTTACTTCTAGGCAAAATAGCACAAAAAATGTAAAAAAAAAAAAAATAAATAAACATGCTGGTTTGTTTAAATACAAACAGTTTCACTGTTAGATATCTTTTCTTTCATGCTAGAGCCTATGACAGCCAAAGAAGCGAGTTATTGATGGGAAAATCTGGTCCTGGTAACTAACTACAAGATTTTGAATGACCTAGAATTAAAAGAAAAAAAAAAAAAAAAAAAAGGATTTAAGCCAATAAGAGAAAGGACTTAATCTTGGCATAACCCAAGCAGAGATTCACGATCTTCTTGTGACAGAAAGTTCATATTTTGGTCCCCATATGGAGATATGGAGAGAGTTTAACACAATTGTATTTTAGCAACAGCCAGGGACACTTTTCTTTGGAAGGAGTGGGAAAGCAAACCACATCTCATATGCTGGAAGGACAGTTGTACAGAAAATCTGCTGTATTCAAGCTCTCTGGAAGAAAAGGACTGATTTGTTGCAGGGGGCAGTGGTAGTACCTCACCAAAACCTCAAAAAAACACCCTATAGTCATTTGAAAGAGGTCTGTGCCCTGGACAGGCTTCAAAACTATCTGGTGTGTTTCCCAGCAAGATTAATTTAGCTTTATGCCAAGATTTCTAAGTGCCTTTGGGAAACACCAGTTTGCAACATGGCAGCTCATAACATGGGTCCGTCTAGTATGTAGTTGTCTGCATCTGATCCAGCAGGCATGCGTTGCGTTACTGCAGAACACTGCCAGGAAGAGTTATGTCCAGAACTCACTATTTTGCTATTGTATTAAATTATTATAGTACCATCACAAACCTCCTTGTATCAGTTTCGACTTTCCATTTTGTAACACTTACTTTTTAAATCAGTTTCAAAAAGGCAGCAGCATCCCTACTGATGTGACGGAAACTCATGTGGTTTAGATGAGTGTGTGTACCACAAGGCAGTATGATTAGAGACCTTTTCTTCATATATCATCACACACTGAAATATAGAATCATAGAACCACAGAATGGTTTAGGCTGGAATCACAGAATGGTCAGGGTTGGAAGGGACCTCGGGAGATCACGTAGTCCAACCCCCCTGCCAAAGCAGGGTCATGTAGAACAGGGTGGACAGGAATGAATCCAGGCTGGTTTTGAACATCTCCAGAGAAGGAGACTCCACAACCTCTCTGGGCAGCCTGTGCCAGTGCTCTGCCACCCTCAAAGTAAAGAAATTTTTCCTCATGTTTGGATGGCATTTCTTGTGTTCCATTTTGTGCCCATTGCCCCTTGTCCTGTGTCTGGGCACCACTGAAAAGAGTCTCGCCCATCCTCTTGGCTCTTGCCCGTTAGCTGTTTATAAACATTGATCTCCTCTCAGTCTTCTTTCCTAGCTAAACAGCCCCAGGTCTCTCAGCCTTTCCTCACAAGGGAGGTGCTCCAGGCCCTCGATCATCTTTGTAGCCCCCTCTGGACTCTCTCCAGTAGTTCCTTGTCTTTCTTGAACTGGGGAGCCCAGAACTGGACACAGTACTCCAGATGTGGCCTCACCAGGGCAAGGTAGAAGGGGAGGATGACCTCCCTCACCCTGCTGGACCACACTCTTCTTCATGCACCCCAGGATGCCATTGGCCCTGTTGGCCACAAGGGCACATTGCTGGTTCATGGTCAGCTTGTCCACCAGGAGTCCCAGGTCCCTCTCTGCAGAGCTTCTTTCCATCAGGTCATCCTCTAACCTGTACCTGTGCATGGGGTTATTCCTCCCCAGGTGCAGGACCCTACACTTGCCCTTGTTGAACTCGAAGGGACCTTAAGTGTCATCTAGATCCAATCCTTCTGCCATGGGCAGGCAATATACAGCTATGAGGAAAAGTCTGCATTTTGTAAATCTGGCCACAGAAAAGGATTTGTTACAATCAAGGTCTTGTTTATGTGTACATATCTATACATATTGTATGTATTTGTCTATATATGCATATACATATGCTCATATATAAGTCTAAAGCCAAGATGGTATCATAAGAATAACTGAAAACTTAAGGCTCTCGTAATTATGAGTCCAGGTCTGTTACAGAGAAATAAATAATAATGTAGTTTAAACTGGTACACTCATTTCTTGATTTCCCCCCTTTTCGCAGAATTATTCTCACCCTTCCACGTCTCCTCTGGGCCCGAAGGTCGGCAGTTGCACTTCAGTGGGGGGCACTGCAGTGAGCTGTCAGCTTCAGAAGTCCTTTGCCAGAAGATATATGTTTGTGTTGGTGGTTTCTTCTTCACTCTAGGATCAGCTTGGCGCCTTTCATACATTTTCCATAAAGCTTATACACCTTTTGCTTTCTTCATTGTTCTGCAACTTCATGCTAAATCCCAATTTACTACAAATGGTGACTTTAAAGCCTGTTGGCTGCTACTCCTTGGTTTGCTTTACTATCCCTAAAACCCGTTTTGCCAGGCTCCAGATCTGTATTTCTTTGTCTGACCATGGGTGAGTTTCTCACAGTGGTGGGGTCTCCAGTGCCAAGTCTTTGCCCCATCCCTTATAACCACATTGCTGTAGTCTTCTACATCCTGTGCTTCCAATTCTTAATCTTCCCTCAAACTAGGTCTGTATTTTTCAACTCTATGTCATTGTGTTAGATTTTTAAATACCTCCCTCTGTATAGAAAACCTACCTTCTGCTTTTATGTTTATAAAGCTGCAGTTGTACCACACACCCACCCCCCCAAAAAAAAAACAAAAACAAAAAAAACCAAACCAAACAATCAAAATAAAACAAACAACCAAGAAAGCAAAAAAGTCCCCAAACAAATTAGTCACAGATACATGGTTGACTAGAGAAATTGATGTCACAGTTAAGCCAAGTAAAACAGAGCTGCAGACAAGGCTCAGACAAACCTAAGCACTGAGACCTTGCTAATGCAATAGAAAGCTTATGGTCTGCTGCCAGCAATGGCAGCACTGCCTTATAGGGCCATACTCTCACGGAGCTGAGAGCTACGGTGTTTGGCTCTTCAGTGCTTCTTAGTGGCATGGGGCTCAGCCTGACCAAAAGGCAAGGCCTTACGTTGTTTGCTTCTTACATTCTGCTTCTTTCACCCACGCATAAACATTTCTTTGCAAGTTGTTTGAAAGTTTTTTCGCAAATTTTCAAGATCAAAACTTTTTTAATAGTCTTCCCCCTCTCCTTCCCCATGAGTAATTAATGAAAGGAAAGTTGCACAGTTGAATTCTGCCTGCTTTTCTTTGTATGCTGCCCCCTCCTTCAGGTTCCAGCTATCAAATCTATTACTAATACTCTTCTCTGCTTTGGGATCTCTTACTCATCCTCATGAACTATTCTCAGTCCATGGGTTACTGTGTTTCCATTCATGGTTTTCTGGATAAATAAGTGTGAACATGTGCAGTGGAGTAATTCCTCCAAGAATGCATCAATTTTATTCCTCATGCATAAGCACAGTATGTCTGATGTGCAGCTGTGCAGGTCTCATGCAATGAGAGTTGACCTGCAAAACATTAGTACTCAGGAATTCAGGATGTGGGTGGTGCCAAGCAGGTTGCTAGATTTCTGCAAATCCTAGATTTTATCAAATAAATCCATGTTTGAGACAAATGCTTACATCTCCCAGGGCAAGGCAAGGAAAAGGACATGTCCATGAACACTAGGGTATATGGTCACCTTCTGAGTTATATCTATTTCTTCTCATTTTCAAATTCCTCTACACTTTTTGCTAGCTGTGCTTCTCGGGGGGATCGGTAGCCGGCTGTCCTTGTCCAACAGGCACATTGATGCATCGCAGCTCTCTGACCCCCAAAACCTCCTCCAGACTGATCCTTACTTTCTGCTTTACACAAAATTTTCTCTCTCCTTTCTCCATTCCACAGCCTTTCTATTAGTCCTCCCTGTAAAGCTTGCTTCATTCCTGGTGGGGTTTAAGCTACAGTGACGCTCCTGTCTCTGATGTGTAAGCAGCAGAAGATAGCAGAGATTCTTGACCCTAAACTCCAGGAGGTTTTATCCGCTCCCTGCTGACTTTCCTCTTAAACACATTCTTCTAGTATTCTGTTTGCAAAAGGGAGAAAAAAAAAAAAAAATCAATTAGGTTGTGTTCTCCAGCTCCTTGAACTTTCACTGAAATTACAAAATTGATCAGTTTTAAAGTCATTGTGTTACAAACAAAAAGAAATGCCATTGAGACAAGGAGATTCCTCCATCTCTGCTTTTAACTCAGCCAATTCTTTGACTCATTTACCCAATGATTATTACACAACACGGTAGTAGCTAAGCAGCTCAGATGGTCTGAGAGTCCCTTTTTATCATGCGCTTACAAACAACAGTTTCTCCCTCTGGGTACACAAAAACCTATGTTTTAACTTAAGTGAAGTAAGTGAATAAACAGACCACAGAGAAAAGGGAGAACAAACACATGAGAAACAACTAGCTTTGAATTAACATTTAATATTGTTTACTTCCATACCTAAACAACCGATGTGAACCGAGGAGTCGGTCGCCGAGGACACCAGCTCCAGTGTAGGTAAGGCTGCACTGGGGAAGGGGATCACGGCAGAAAAAACCGGCGAAGAGCTCTTTTTGGGGGCTATCGAAGCCGGGAAAGCGGGTAGCTTGTGCCGGAACCGGCAGCTCCAGGGCGGGCTGCTGAGGCGGCAGGGGCAGAGACAGCACCACGCGGCAGTTCCAAACGGGCTGTCCCAGAGGCCGCTGCGCACCCAAGACGTGGGCAGCCAGTGGGAGTTACCGCGGCACCACACTGGGAGCGGCCGAACCGGTAGGTCACCAAAAGCCTTGTGTCTAAGCTGAGCACAAGGTGGGCAAGCAGAAGCAGAGGAACACCGGCGTGCAGGGGCACCTCCTGGCACAAGATAAGAACATGGCCACAAAACGGTCAAAAGCCGCTGTAAGAGAGAATGTGGGAATTCAGACTGAGCTCCCACGCAAGCACGTGGCTGTGCAGGTCTCAGGCTGCGACGAATGCCTGAGCCTGGCACTGCTCTCACAGGGAGCCAGAGACACTGCCTGTGTACGGTGTGATCAAGTAAATGATCTGCTCAGGCAGGTGGTTGAAATGAGGGAAGAGGTAGAAAGGTTAAGAAGTATTAGAGCCTGTGAAAATGAAATAGATTGGTGGAGCCATACCCTGAGGCAAAGGCAGCAGGAAGAGGCCCTATCAGAATTGGATGATCCCCTACCCTCCAGTCACCGGGCAGAAGGAGGGGACTCGAGGGATAAGGGGGAGTGGAGTCAGATCCCT